CCGCCTCCCAGGAGATCGCCGGCGCCAGAGTCCCCGGGCAGCGTGTGAAGGCAGACGGCAGGGAGAGCAGGCCGGCGAGCTGGCGGAATACGAGCGAGCACGTTAACCAGCGAGAGCGGACGACAGAAAAGGGCCAGAGGTCACCGGAAACCCGGGGCATGCTGGGCCAGGCAGTCGCCGCCTGAAAAGACGAGGACTACTTCCGGGTTGGAGGACGCTGTCGGCTGAGGGGGCCAGGCAGCGCCGTGCGGACCTCTCCTCACCCCCGGGCGCCGCCGCGTCCTGCTAGTGAGCACCGCTGTGGTCTGAGACCCAGGCCTCCGCCCGGGAGCACGCGCGAGCCCGCCGGCCTAGCCGGGCAGGGAGCGCGGACCCGGGCCTCGCGCGCGGGCCAGCGCCCCTGGGTGGGCGGGAGCAGCGGGAGTTTGAAACGGAGTGGCTAGCGGGGATCGTGGGCGGGGTGTATGCGCTGTCACCCCGGCGCCTGGTGGCTTCCTGACCCACCATTTTCGCGCTCCTGGCGGCGTTCTCGGTCTGATGCCGAAGGCAGTTAGTTCTGTTGGAGCGCGTGTCTGGGAACCCAACGGTCGGCAAGGGGTTTTAGAAAACGTGTGAGGAAAGGGCTCAGAACTGAGGATAACCTGCCGCAAACCCATCTTTACTGTAGGCAGTATTTATGAAGCCATTGGGCGTTAAAAGCAGATGCCAGAAATCCGACTGAGGAAACGGGTTGGCTCTAGTTCAGACAGCTTGAACTGTGTCTGCGAGCTCACCATCTGCACCAGTTACGAAAGCAGTGACGTTCGAGTGTTATCAGGTTCTTGAACGGAGTGGCTAGACCTGATTTTTCCTTCCGCCAGACACTCCAACCCCGCCCCGCCCCCCCCAGCACCGTCCCCCTCCCAATCGCATGCTTTTTTTGCCCTAGCGTTCAGCACCCTTTTCTTTCCCGATTCATCCGATGTCATTTCAATCAATAGCATTCATATATAATCACTTTCTCATGTATAGGCTCACACAACTAAAATCGAACTTTTAGCTTTAGATGAGAATTTTGACTTTCCACTTAATTACACTGTTCTTTTGCCTTGATGTTAATGACGGGTTATAACTTTCTTCTTCTCGGTGGTGTGAAGAGTTAATGTGCTGGGTTGCTAACCAAAAGCTTGGGGGGTTTAATCTACTCAAGTGCTTCAGAAAAAAGGCCTGGAGATTTCCAGAAATCCAGCCGTTGAGAATTTAGGATTTCCTGGAACACATGGAGTTATGACAGCAGAAAGTGGTGGTAGTGGTAGAAACTTGGGTTGAAAGTAGCACTGTTAAAGATTTGAGGACAAACCAGAGGAAGCGCCTCAGATGACCATGTACAACTGGATTAAAATTAAACAGATCTCTGAAATGGTGAGTATTTTGTTACATATGTATTTATAACAAATGTGCTCCTCCGAAAATACTAGCCACATAGATCATGTTTTAAAGGCAACCAGATGGGGACCAGTCTCCACAACCATGTGAGCCCAAGAGGCAGTTGTGTAATTGAGGGATCAATTAAAGAGGCATGAGACAAAAAGCATGCAAGGACTCACCTCTTTCATGTTGACAGGAACCATAGAGTAATTGAAGGGAAGAAATTAAGAGACAGGCAAAAAATTTGGGGTGCTTACCTCTACTTTGGCTCCAGGAACCAAGTCCATAGCTTCAACTAGCTCCATGGCTTCAGCAACCAGATCCTTCCCTTCAGCAACCAGGTCCATGGCTTCAAGTCCAGGTCCAAGTTGAGAAAGACTGAAGCATATTCTCTCATGAGTTTAAGTAATGTCTGGCCTGCAAGCCACAGTAAGGGTATGTATAACAGGAAGGGGTTGTATTAGAGGTGTACATGTGACCGGAAGGTACATAGGTAATCAGATGGGCGGGCTCTAGAGTCAAGATGGCAGCCTAACCTTGATCATCTATCTCTGAGTTGGCTTGACCCTACATGTCTGAGCTCTTCTCCAAGGGGACAAGGATCTATCCCTAGCAGAAGAGAGTGGGCCCTACTTAGGGTGGGACAAGCAATAGTGTCTGATTGCTTTTGATGACAGACAACCTTTAGGCAGATAACCTTCAAGCAGTGACCTTCAAGCATATAGTAAGAGACCATGTGTTTGTAAACAGCATCTTACATTTGCCATTATTATGGGGGGACTTTGCGGGGAATGGCTTTTACTTAGGAAAATGTGACTGGAATGCATCTCCAATTTATGACCATGAAGGTCCACCTCCATGGGAGTCCCTGCCTCCGAACTCCTTAACATAAAGCATTGAAAGTTTGTCCACATACTACGTTCTCTTAATGG